ACCTGATCGCTGCACACGCGCCAAGATCAAGCGGAGTCATCGCAGCAAGTCAAGGGAACCATCTGATTGGCTGCGACGAACTACGTGGCAGTGACGGCATCGCAGGACACCAAAGAAAAAGCCACGACGCTCAACGACAGGCTTCACAAGCACTCGGCAGCAGCGATAGCAGGTTGCTTCGCAGACGCCTAAAGTTTTGCTGCCCTCCACGTTACAGGCGATTCATCTACCCTGCTTCGCCGACCTGATCGCTGCACACGCGCCAAGATCAAGCGGAGTCATCGCAGCAAGTCAAGGGAACCATCTGATTGGCTGCGACGAACTACGTGGCAGTGACGGCATCGCAGGACACCAAAGAAAAAGCCACGACGCTCAACGACAGGCTTCACAAGCACTCGGCAGCAGCGATAGCAGGTTGCTTCGCAGACGCCTAAAGTTTTGCTGCCCTCCACGTTACAGGTTGGTACATACGCTTGATCTTTTGGGTGTTGCTATCGCTGCTGCCGCTGTTGCTTTTGTCTATTGGTTGATATTAGAAAGAAGCTAAAAATGGCAGAGGCAGAAGAATGTTTGTCCTGCCATGAAGTCTTGCCAGTGGGGGCGTGCATGACTTGTTCAGAGTGTGGTTTTAGCTATCACATGGGCAAATGTTCGGGTGTGACAAAAAGTGCTCTAAAAAAAATGACCGATGAAACAAGAGAGTCCTCGCAATGTTTAACATGCACCATTGCAAAAGCAAATGAACAAACCTCATCAAAAGATCCGGTAGAGAAAACCGAGAACCAGTTGGCCGAAATAACAAGAAAACTGAATGTCTTAATGTCGATCGGAGCGAAAGTTGACGCGCTTCTCTCCATAAAAGAAACAGTAGACAAAATCGAGCTGTCTGTGCAGCACATGTCAGATCAATATGATGAGATACTTGTGGAAATGAAAAAGCAAAACCAAGATATTAAAAAACTCGGGGAACGTGTTGAAAGACTGGAAAATAGCGGAACCCAAAGAGAAGTCGAAGCTTTAAAAGGGGAAGTAAATGAGCTTCAACAATACAGCCGCAGACAGAACCTTGAGGTGCATGGGTTTCCATGTCTCCCAAACGAAAACCTGTGGCACAAACTGAAAGAAGTATCAGACCAGCTAGGCGTTGCTGAACTGACTTAAAACGATGTAGAAGCGTTGCACAGGATGCCCGGAAAGCCAGATAAGGTTCCTCCGATTCTCGTTCGTTTCACGTCCCGACTTACTAGAGATCGATGGTTCCAGGCAAGGGCTGTTCTCAAAGATAACGCGTCGGGTATCTGGTTAATGGACAACCTAACAGCGCAAACAAAAAGATTGCTTTGGCAGGCAAAGACGAAGGCAGCGGAAAAACGTTATCAGTTTGTCTGGCAGAAGGGCGGAAGGATTTTTGTCAGGAAGCAACCCGGCGATCGCCCTATCCGAATTGACAATGACAATGATCTAGCTAAAATTGAGTAAACATTCCGGAAGTATAAAGCCACTAAATAAATAGACACAACAATGGCGCGCGATTATAATGAGCCTTCGTACTATGACAGCGCATTATTCAATCGGTGCATCACTGATAAAGCTGTCACTGCAAAAACACTGAAATTGTTTCACCTAAACGCACGGAGTCTGCGGAATAAATCTGATGAAGTATGTCTTTTCCTAGATTCACTTTCTACTCCGTTTGATGTTCTTGCATTTACCGAAACGTGGTACTCAGGAGAATCGGACATTGTGCGATTCCAAGATTATAAATGTGAAGTTATCTGCCGCGAATCTCGTCGTGGGGGCGGTGTTGCATTGTACATTCAAAACAAACTAAACTACCATGTACTGCATGATTTCACTTGTATGAATAATGATATTGAATCTTTGGTTGTGGGTTACGGAGGTTGTATAATAGCTGCAGTTTACCGTCCACCCTCAGGTGCCTTAAATGTTTTTTTCAATTTTCTTGAAGAATTACTTGAGTATGTTATGTCAATAAATCAGAAAATAGTTTTAGTTGGAGACATGAACATTGATCTGTTGACCAATGGACCTGCGAGTGTAGCATTATTAGAAATCGCTCAAGCAAGCGGATGTGAAAATATAATCAGCGTTCCCACTCGCATAACTGAAGGTACGGAATCACTAATCGATATTTGTTTAACGAATTACCAAAAAACGGATGTATTTTCTGGAGTTCTAACTGCAGATCTGAGCGATCACTTACCGTTTTTTTGCTTCTTCCCCCTACACAATTCACAACACAAGCTCCTGCGCAATAACCCAGTATTTTCCAGACTCATAAACGCAACCACTTTGGAAGATTTCTATAATCTCGTTTTGACAGAAAACTGGGATGATGTTTTTAAGGAACCTAACCCGACAAAATCTTACGATATTTTTATATCAAAGCTTCAAGAATATTATAATACAGCTTTCCCAAAAGCGGAGATTAAGAAACATAAAAAGTCAAGGAAGCCATGGGTAACGCTGGAACTTTACAACCGAATCAAAGTACGTGATCAGATGTTTGCAACGTTTATCAAAACTAAAGATAAGAGTTTACTTATGGAATATAAAAAATTCAGAAACAAACTTTCCCTTGACATTAAAAAGGCGAAGATAAACTTTTATAAATCTACGTTCTCTGAAATTTATAAAGACCCAGCTAAGCTGTGGAATACTATGAGAAAATTAATGTCAATAAATCCGGTTTTCATCCCTGAAGAACTTAAAATAGATGGTACTCTATATACGCAAGCTTTATTGGCAGATAAATTTAATACACATTTTCTGTCATCTGGTGCATGTGAATCAGCGACCGTATATGATAACCATTACTCATCTGTTCCGGTATTAAGCTCAATATTTTTAGAACCAACAGATGAAACAGAAGTTCGCAACATACTAATGTCCCTAAAAAATAACTGCGCAAGTGGTGTTGATGATATCAAGGTTGCCGCTATTAAAGCAGTAACGGAGTTAGTGTTGCCTCCTCTTGTTGATCTTTGTAATAAAATATTAGTTTCTGGTATATTCCCAGAAAAAATGAAAATTGCTAAAGTCAGTGTTATCCACAAAGGAGGCACATATGAGAACCTTAATAATTACAGGCCTATATCTGTACTACCACTTTTTTCCAAGGTTGTAGAAAAAATAATTAATTCAAGATTTTACAGGTTTTTTACTATTAATAATGTTATAACTGACAAACAGTTTGGTTTTCAGAAAGGGAAATCAACCGAATCAGCTCTAATATATATCAAAGATAAAATAATTACTAATATAGAAAATCATGCATATACCATTGGGATTTTCCTGGATTTCAGAAAAGCGTTTGATTCAATAAAACATGAAATTTTACTGGAGAAACTATCGGTGTACGGAATTAGAGGTAACGCACTAGATTTAATTCGCAGCTATTTATATTCGCGTTCTCAATATACGGTACTTAATGGATTTCAATCTAAACTCGCACCGATAATATATGGCGTTCCGCAAGGTTCCATACTGGGGCCTCTATTATTTCTAATTTATATAAACGATATTGTGAATATACCTGAATCGCGTGATATTATTTTATATGCTGACGATACCAATGTCTTTTTTTCTAGTGGAAATCTGGATCAGCTCGAGGAATTTGCAAATAGTTGGCTCAGTAAATTATTATTGTGGCTAAAGCGCAACCAGCTTAATCTTAACACTAGTAAAACAAAATATGTGTTGTTCAGATCAAAAAACAAACCTATTTCGCGTACATTGAACATCTTTTTTGACGGGGAAAAAATTGAAGGCGTTAAATATCACAAGTTCCTTGGTGTATGGTTTGAAGAAACACTCAGTTGGACTGTACACATAGAAAAAATGAGGGTTGATATTTCAAGAGCTATAGGAATATTAAACAAATTCCGAGAATTACTACCAAAAAGGGTGAAACTGCAATTATATTATTCGCTGGTCTACTCACGCTTACAGTACTGTATGTTAGTATGGGGAACCACTACACAAACGAATAAGGAAAAACTATTTATTTTGCAAAAGAAGGCTGTTCGATTTATTGAGAACCTTAATAGGTACGAACACTCATTCCCAGCATTTCAAAAGTATAAAATATTAAATATAGATCAAATCCTGCTTCTCAAATTATCTATATTTATTTTTAATAAAACTAGACAAAACGAAGCGCCCTTTCTTTATATCTTCAATCAAACCTCGGCAAATTACAGTCTTAGAAATGCACAGTATACGAAACCCAGGGTTCGAACTAATTACGGTACACAGCACCTTACATATCTCGTACCAGATCTACTAAACAAACACCCAAACATAGCAGAAATGGCCCAAGCACACGTTTCGTTTTTCTATTTTAAAAAAAGGATTGTAGAATATGTACTAAATCACTCATGATCTGCAGTTAGGACGAAGTTGACAGTTGTGTGTGTTGTTGTGTTTGTTGTGGATTTTAAAATTGCTGTATCTTTGTATATTTATTCTGTTTATTTTCCTGTGTCTCCTCCGAGTGCTGTAAAAAAGGGGCTGGAGCCTCGTCAGAAGACAACTCGTCTTCTTTTGCCCCAGCCCCCCAGACCTTTTTTTGTGTCTGAAATAAAGATACATACATACATACATATCGGATTGGATGTGTGGTTGATTATTCTAGAGATGTTCTGTTGCGGTATATGAATGGTTTAGGTTTATTTGGGTGATTCTAATGGATGTGTTGTTTGTTTTATGTGTACCATATTTCTTCGCTTTAGCTGTTCCCTCTTCTATCCTCTGTTCTCTCGCCTCTCGCCCCCCTCCCCCCTCTCTCTCTTTTGTTCCCTTAGTATGAAGTTCTTTGTCGGATTCTTTCGACTTGTGCTTTATATGTTGGGCACAGCGGGTCTGTGAATTTGTGGTTAGTGTCAAATTGTGATTCAAATTTTTCGTTGCTGTTGCTGCAGGCTTTGCATTTGACTGTGATCACCTCGTATTCTTGGTGTCTGTGTTGTCCGGCGCACTCAGGGCACGTCGCTCTGTTTTGGCATTGCCTTTGTGTGTGTCCGTATGATGAACAGTTGAGGCATCTTGGGACATATATATTCTCTCTGACGGGACAGGAGGTCCAACCTATCAGTAACCTTTTCCTGTTTATTAGTTGCCTGAATGCGTTCGCAGACAGTTCAATGATCTGGGTGTTCGTGCCGTTGTTTGTTCTGAAAGTTTGAATTATTTTTATTTCGTCCTCTCCTGCTTCGATTTTGTTTTGGTGTATGATTGCCTTCGTGATTTCTTCTTCTGTTAGCTCTCTTTCTACTTGTGTTATGGAGATTTGGGGATTTCGTTCTCTGGGTTTTTTGTATTCTAGTTTTTCTCTGGTGTCTTTTGTTTCGTTGATTTTCCTTTCCAGTTTATTCCGCAGGGGGCACCTGTGAAAGCAGGTGTTTGAGAGTGGCGTCTCCACGGACCCCGAGCTCCGCAGGGGGCGCCTGCACCTTAGGTGCTAGGGGCTTGGTGAGTAGCGTCACCACGGACCCTAGCCACTTTGGCGACACCACAGACCCTGAGTAAAAGTGGCTACGACCCACCCACGTCTGGCTGTGCGTGGCGAGCCCGTGTCCAGGGAAAAGGGCATCCTGGTGGTTGAGCTGAGCCCGGGGTAGGTTTGAACCCTTCGGTGCCCCCCGGGCGAGGCAACACATCACTTTGGCCCCTGCTTCCTGTAGACGGGTGTCCTGGCTTGGCCCGACCAGGATGATTCAGTCAGTCGCCACATCTTCTACTATCCCCTCTTATCTTTCTCTTTGCTCTTCTTTTATTCCTTTTCACCTTCTTTGCCGGCAAGGGCTAACCTTGGGTGGCGATAGACCCCTTGTCCGGATCCACACTAGGTTATAGTGCCTGGGCAGCACTGGTAGTGTAATGTTGTCAGCAAAGTCATATTTGTTATGGCACATTGCCTACCCCCGTGTTTGGCTCCGTGGTAGGTGTTGCACCCGGGTCACCGAAATTCTCTCCCATCTTTATGGGTACTAAACAAAAAACCTTTCTTGATCGGCCCCCCAAAAGGGGCCGCACCGAAGTGCATGCAATTAATCCTACTAGATCTGCAGAAAAATTTCCAAGATTCTTGGTGATGCACTCTGAGAGTGAGAAACCTTTGGCGAAACTGTCACCATTCCTTGTTTCCAAAACGCTTGAGTCCATTGTTGGAAAGAACTCTGCCAAAAAAATGACATCCGGAGATCTGCTCGTTGAGATTAAAACCAGTGAACAGAGCACAGCACCCCTATCACTAAATTCAGTTTCTGACTATAAAGTGACAGTCACTCCCCACTGTACATTGAACACAGTAAAAGGTGTGATTTCTGAAGATGACCTCCTCGAAAGTACAGAAGATGAACTCGTAGATGGCCTCAGTGACCAAGGAGTTGTCGCTGCAAAGCGAATCTCCCTTCGTCGAGAGGGGCAAGAGATCAAAACAAAACATGTCATTTTGACTTTCGAGTTGAGCAAAGTTCCCGAGTCAATCAAGGCTGGGTACTTGAACTGTAGAGTACGGCCATATGTGCCGAACCCCAGGAGATGTTTCCATTGCCAGAGGTTCGGCCATAGTGCCCAGAGCTGCAGGGGCAAGACCACGTGCACCAAGTGCGGTCAGAACGATCACCCGTCAGACAACTGTGCAAACCCACCACACTGCGTCAACTGCGGCGAACCACACGCCGCTTACTCCCGTTCTTGTAAAAAATGGAAAGAAGAAAAGGAAGTAATTACTCTCAAAGTAAAAGAAAACATCTCGTTTCCTGAGGCCAGGAAGCGACTTTCTTTTCTACAGAAAGGATCCTTCGCTACGGTAACACGCACAGGGGGCGTGTCACCGAAAACCTCGGTGGGAACCCAGGTCTGTCCCAAAGACCTGGCAGCCCCACCGACACCCCCTGCCCCCCCAAGGTCGGCTCTACGACCACGTTTGTCGTTGGAGCCAAAAGGTTCACAGTGCCTGAATGGTGCTGTCGCGCCTTTCTTAAAGGAGGCAATGAACACCATGGCACCAAAGGAGGTATCCCCTCCAAAGGCATCAGGGGTGGTGCCTCTTGCACCACCCTCAGTCCGTAAAGAGGGTCCGTGGCAGACCACCTCCTCTAAGGAGCTGGAGCGGACACCCTCGTCGTCTGCTCGCTCTTCAGGCCGAGGCAGGGCTTTGCCCACTCCCGCCTCGACCAGCTCTCGAAAGCCTGGCCAGCTGGACGAGGCATACTCGACCGCAAGCCAGCAGTCAGTAGATGAAATGATGGATGAGAGCATGCCACCCTCTGACGACGACCTGGTCCCTTCAGGTGCTGAGTCATCACTACCTTTTCAGGTCGTAGAAAAGAAAAAGAAAAATAAACTTCCTAGAATTTTGCCCCCAAAGGGATCGTAGTCCCTTTAGAAATGAATCATAAGCAAGTGTCGCCACTTAGTTATCTCGCGGTGTCCTGAAGGCCAGTTATAATTTTAATTTTAATTTCCAGTTTTAATCTTCACCATGTCTCTGTTTTTACAGTGGAACTGTCGTGGGCTTTTTTGTAATTATGATGATGTCACTTTTATTAGACGAACACCGCCCTGCTGCCTTCTGTCTGCAGGAGACGCATCTTAAAGAAACTAGGTCAAATGTACTCCGCCATTATCAAGTGTTTAGACAAGATAGGTTGCACTCCTCTGTGGCGTCTGGTGGTGTTGCTGTAGTTGCCCAGCGCACAACCCCATCTGCCGAAGTGGCTCTCTACACCACTCTCGAGGCTGTGGCTGCCCGAATACTGCTAGACCGGGTGATTACTGTTTGTTCAGTGTACATATCACCGGGATACCAGCTGCAGTACGAAGAGCTAGAGGATCTTGTTAGTCAGCTCCCGGCTCCATACTTACTTTTAGGCGATTTTAATGCACACAACCCATTGTGGGGGAGTGGTTAACGGGATGCTAGAGGAGCACTTGTTGAACGTTTTCTTCTTTCCACGGGACTGTGCTTACTTAACACTAAAGAAGCCACACACTTTAGTTCAGCGACCAGGACTTTTACTTCCATCGACCTTTCTATCTGCCATCCTTCACTATACTCGCTGTTTTCATGGAGGGTCATCCCAAACCCGTATGGAAGTGACCATTTTCCAATTGTTTTAGAGTTTAACAGTCCTCCTGCTGGTCTTCAAACGCGTACCCCTCGTTGGAAGTTTGAGAGGGCTGACTGGGCAACATTTAGCAGCTCTTCAGTTTTAGCTTGTTCATCACTTGATGATCTTTCCATCGATGATGTCACTCTGCATATCACTCGACACATATTACAGGCCGTAATCATCGCCATTCCTATGACGTCCTCGCATCTCCCAAAAAGGCCGAAGGCATGGTGGAATAAAGACTGCCGCCAGGCAAAAAAGGAACAGAATCGTGCCTGGGGTATCTTTAGGCGTTACCCTACTCCAAGTAATCTGATTGGTTTTAAAAGAAAAAGGGCCCAGGCAAGGTTTATTCGAAGAAAAACCAAGCGGCAAAGCTTTAGAGGATATGCCTCTTCAATCAATAGCAGTACATCTATAAAGGAAGTTTGGGACCGCGTGCATAAAATTGAGGGTTCCTACGGCGCTTTCTCTGTCCCACTCTTGTGCCGGAATGGAACATGTCCTGCAAGCCTTGACGAACAGGCTGACATTCTTGGTGAGCACTTCGAATTTGTTTCTAGTTCCGAACACTATACGCAATCATTTAGGCGGCATAAGCTACATGCAGAAAAAAAGATTGTGCCTACGACCGGTGGTTTGCAAGAGCCTTATAACTCTCTTTTCATGCTGCACGAACTGCAGATGGCTCTCGATTCATCCGGACAGACTGCCCCTGGACCGGACGGTATCCACTATCAAATGCTTCAGCACCTTCATCCATCTACTCTAGAGCTCATCTTGTATCTTTTCAACCGAGTTTGGGTCGAGGGTCTTTTCCCATTGACCTGGAAGGCTGCCGTCATTATCCCCCTTTTAAAGCCAGGAAAAGATCCTGCCTGTGCCTCCAGCTTCAGGCCTATAGCACTAACTAGCTGTCTTTCGAAGACATTAGAAAGGATGATCAACAGAACGCTGATGTTTTATTTGGAGAGTAATAATCTTCTTGACAGGTACCAATGTGGCTTTCGTTCAGGACGATCCACGGTCGACCACCTAGTTCGCTTTGAGACTGTTGTGCGAGAGGCATTTGTAAATAAGCAGCATTGTGTCTGTCTTTTTTGACCTGGAAAAGGCATTTGATACAACCTGGTGCCATGGCATACTGCAGGATCTGTTCAGCTTAGGTGTACAGGGCCGAATGTTAAGTGGCATTCAGAGTTATCTCCAAAACCGGACTTTTCGCGTGAAGCTTGGGACAACTTTTTCTAGAGAATTTTCGCAGCAAAATGGAGTACCTCAAGGTGGTGTACTTAGCGTCTCTTTTTATTGTGAAGATGAACTCAATTGTCCGCGCAATAGCTCCATCTGTTCAGTACTCACTGTACGTCGATGATCTGCAGATTTCTGTATCGTCTTGTAATCCATCCATATGTGAACGTCGGCTCCAGCTCGCAATCAACAACTTGGTCAAATGGGCTGATGTCAACGGTTTTAAATTTTCTCCTGAGAAGATCGTCTGTGTGAGTTTCTCACGTCGCCGCGGAGTTTTGCACGAACCTTCTTTGACTATGTATGATGTTCCTATCCCAGTGAAAACTGAACACAAGTTTTTAGGTCTTATATTTGATTCCAAATTGACTTTTGTTCCGCATGTCAAGAGAGTGAAGATGAAGTGTTTTAAATCGCTTAATATACTTAAGGTCCTGTCGCATGTGTCCTGGGGTGCTGACCGTCTTTGTCTCTTGCGTATCTATCGGTCGGTCGTTCGATCCCGACTTGATTACGGTTGTATTGTGTATGGTTCTGCTCGGACATCGGTTCTCAAAATGCTGGACCCTGTTCATCATCAGGGGTTGCGGCTTGCTACCGGTGCTTTTCGCACATCTCCTGTTCTCAGTCTATACGCAGAAGCAAACGAGCTCTCTCTGGAGAAAAGAATATCTGAACTGGGCTTCACATATTTTATGCGAATTAGATCGGTTCCTAACCATCCAACCTTACACTGTATGGAACGAATACGCTACGAGCGAACCTTCAGTAACAAGCCTTCAGTTGTTCCACCTCTTGCCATGAGGGTTTGCAATTCTGCGGAGTCTGTAGGACTGGACGTGTTGCCTCCAGTTGTACAGTGTTTGAGTTCGGCAGCCCCTTGGGACCTAGTTCCCATTCAGTGCGAACTGGAGCTGACGAAATTCAACAAAAAAGACACTCCTCGCGAAGTCCTGAGACAAGAATTCCTTGAACTCAGAGGACAGTATCACGACTTTATAAGCTTTTGCACTGATGGTAGTAAAACTGATTCCTCTGTCGGTTGCGCAGTGATCGGGACTGGGATGCAGCTTGTCCGGAGAATAAATGACAGTGCCTGTAGTTTTACGGCAGAGCTCTATGGCTTACTCCTCGCCACAGATAAGATCCTCAAACAAAAGCTTCACAAGTCAATTGTTTACACCGACTCACTTAGTGCTTTACGAGCTCTTGCCAGAGTGGGAAATGATCGCAATCCACTTGTAATAGAAATAAAGAACAGGCTAATTTCAGCTGCTAAACGGAAGAAAATAATACTATGCTGGGTTCCTTCACATGTCGGAATTGCCGGGAATGAGGATGCTGACAGGGCAGCAAGTACTGCTAAGGATCGAGAAGTCGACCTGTGGAAAATACCTTACAGAGACTATAGGCATGTTCTGAAATTTTCCATAAGACGCAAGTGGCAAGAGGAATGGGACCGAGAAATAAACAATAAGTTGCGCGCAATAAAACCACTACTTCAGGAATGGGAGAGTGCACGACACCGCGAGCGTTTTTATGAGGTGGTTTTGTGCCGACTGCCAATTGGTCATACCCGTCTTACCCATGGGCATCTTTTGCGTGGGGAGGATGCTCCGGAGTGTGAACACTGCTGCATTCCGTTAAGCATCCTACATATCTTACTTGTATGCCCTTTGTATGACCAAGAACGCCACAGACACTTCGCTAAGGTTTACCAAGAGCATACACCATTACATCTCGCCCTTTTACTCAGCGATGAGCCGTTGATTCCACACAAGTGTGTTTTCAACTTTCTTAAGGATATAAGACTCCTGGACCAGCTATAATTTTAATAGTTCATCGTATTCATTGCCACATCTTATGCACTTGTGCTTTCATGATCATTGTTTTATTAAATTACAAGCTACTATAGCTCTTTCTTCTCTTCAACCTTGATTCAGCAATAGTCCTAGTTGTTGCCGCATTATAGCCTTGGTCGCTGCTGCGCCATTAAACCCCAATCAATCAATCAATCAATTTCCAGTTTATCTATGGCCTCTTTTGAGTTGGTAGTTATGGCCAGTCCTCCCCTAATCGGTTTAAGTCGGACGTCAGTCAGCCCGACGTCCGCTGGGTCGATTGATTTCTTTAGGAGGTTGCCCACTTTGATGTGGTCGTCTTTTTCTTGACTTCCTTTTGTCGTTACCAGTAGAGTATATTTCTTTTCTTGCTCATTGTCGTCTTGTTTCGGGGTTTCGTTGTTGTCATCGCTTTGCGTGCCCAGCGCCTGTGAGTACGTCTTAGTCCTCGCTTTCTCTGACTCGTTTAGTCTTGCATTGTTTTGCAACAGGTCGAGTTCTCTGAGGTGTAGGTTCTCTTGGATTATGAGTTCGGTTTGTTCGTTGATTCGGCTGAGTTCGGCTTTGATTTTGGCGTTTTCGTCCATCACCTTGATTGTTGTCCTTGTAAGTTCTGCGATAGTTTTAAGTAGCTCTTCCAAGCTTGCCTGTGAGAGCTCCTGTGTTTGGGGTCTGTCTTTTTTGGTGTCTTTTGTTTTGTTTTTGTTGGCAGCGTTGCGACTAGTTTTCCTTTCGTCTGGGAAGTCGTCTTCCCCCGTCTCTGGGATCTCCTCCCTCACCTCCCGTTCCAAGTAGATGCCCTCTTCCTCCGAATCGGTGTTTTCCTTGTCCTTGTGGTTTTTCTTTTCATCATTGTCTGAGCAGTATTCTTTCGTTTTTTTGTTTTTCTTCTTCTTAACGCTCTTTTTCTCGTGATATGCGTTCATCTTTGCCGGTGTTGTCTCCGTGTGGTTGAGGCTTTTAGGTTCTCAGGTAAGTTTTTAGGGTGACTAGCGGGTGAATTCGAATTGTTTTGCTTTGGTTTCCTATTGGGAGTAAGTTTGGATTTGGGATACAAGGGTAGGTGGAATAGACCCTTTCCGAAATTCAGTCTGGCCACTTTGATCACTATCATCATCTGTGGAACGGCATCTGTGCCATACCAATGGCGGCCTTCTAGTGACTGATAAAGGAAGACGTTGAAGATGCTCCTAAGCGGATCTTGCGAGGCCTGTACATTCGGGGGGTCAGTACGACGCGACGTGGGAATGGAACACAAGAGCTACGTAAGCGTTTATTTCTAATAACTCAGATTCAGTCAATCTGTGGGCGGCACACAATCGGCTTTAAAGCACTTGGGTATATAGAAATTTCTCGAGGCCTCTGAGTGAGTTGAAGCTTCGTTCTGAATGCAGGTTGTTGGTCACCATCGAACTCAAAGTGATCGAGAAAGAACTTACGCTGAACAATTCCTCGCGTGCCGTTGACTTGCGAAAGTGACGGTGCCGATACAAGTTCATTTCCGCCATTGATATGACAAAACCTAAACTCCTTTACAAACCACCAGATGGCATTGAATTTCGGAAAGGGTCTATTCGACTGATTTGTGTGGTTCCCACCACTCTCCCCAGGGGTCCTCAGATGTTGTCTACTACGGAATTTCTATTAGGCCGTTTTTGATCGCTTTTTTCGCCCGGATTAGTATCCGATCCTCCTCCTTTCGGTTTCTAAGGGGGAGGAGGTGCCCTTATTTTCCATCTAGGATCAATGGTTTTCGAGATATAGGGTATGTTCCAAATCTTACCCGAGTAACCTGCCTCCTACGTCAGCGGGTAATACCACGTGACATCGCGAGTAAACGATCCGCGACTCGATTTTGGAACGGCCAGGATAATCACCTGGATACTACGCGGATTGGCTTCGTCTTGGGCGACGGCAAAAAGAAAACACAGCAGCGATGGCAGAAAATAGCAGACGATCCTTTTGATCATGGAGAAAGCACCCGAAGAACGGTAATGTTAATGACGACGCGGTGTATTTTGAGGTGGATCCACCAGCTCCTTTTACTCACCTTCGTTTTGAGCTGTATATTGAGATCAAAATTACTCCTTACAGCTAGACATAAAAAAAATGTGTTATTAATCAGCGCGATCGCTGCAATTCTAGTCACGGTGCCCTAAACGCATATATCCCACGCATTGTAATTTGCACCGATTATGTTTTGCAGAAATATATTCCACACGTTTAAGCGGTACAGCGCGAGGGTGTTTTCTTCAGAATGATATAAAACTCACGTTCGCTTTGACGCGAATGTGATTACAGTGAAATTTTCGAAGCCTTCACTGCTTTACAAACGTTATCCTCTCATTACACACACTCTGGAGGAAACAAAAATATTACATTATCATATACCGAGTTCAAACATTTTCGGCCTTGAACGTGAGATTACGGCGTTCCCCCAACGCCGAGGACGAGGATGCGGAGAAGCTCCTGTTTACGCTCGCACTCAAATAATAACAAGCTTGTACACGTTCCCGGGGAAGGTGGACGGTCTGGATGTAATGCAGTCAATTCCTGCGTTGACAACAGCAAATCGCAATAACCAGACATGCTGCACCTAATTCTTTGTAATTTCGAACGTCCGCCACCAAAACCAACGGAGCAAGCGAGCTTTGACGGCTGTCGGCGCAGAAAGCAGACGACGAACAGATCACGTGACGTATTTACTCGATTTGATCCGACTTTACCCCCCGATCGAGGAGGGTAGCGCGAGTAATTACTCCGGAGTAAACAACCCGCTTCTGGAACGCGAGTTCTTACGTCATCGAGTAAGCTGGAGTAACTTTTTAAATGCCACGGTACGAAACTTTTACTCCGGAGTCGGATCGAGTAAATTTTGGAACACAGCCATAGAGTAATTTGTGTGGCGTTTCGGTTTCGTATTGGTTTCCAATGGGTGTTGGGCTTAGCTGATCTCGAGGTTTCGGTTTCGATTTCGGTCTTGATTGAATATTTTGCGTAGTTCCAACTATCCTCCCCAGGTGTCCTTAGTTGTTGCCGAATACGGAGTTTCTAATTGGGCCGTTTTCGATTTATTTTTCGCCCAGATTAGTTTCCGCTGGTGTTCCTCCGGGTTCCTAAGGGGGAGGAGGTGCTTTTATTTTCCCTCTAGGATCAATAGTTTTCGAGATATAAAGCAATTTACAGGGCGGTTAGGTTTCCTGTGGGTTTCAAATGGGTTTTAGGCTTAGATGATCTCGAGGTTTCGGTTTCGGTTGAATATTTTGCGTAGTTCCAACTATCTTCCCCAGGTGTCCTTAGTTGTTGCCGACTACAGAGTTTCTAAGTAGGCCTTTTTCGATTTATTTTTCGCCCAGATTAGTTTCCGATCGTGTTCCTCGCGCATTCTAAGGGGGAGAAGGTGCTTTTATTTTCCCTCTAGGATCAATAGTTTTCGAGATATGAAGCAATTTATAGGGCAGTTAGGTTTCCTGTGGGTTTCAAATGGGTTCTAGGCTGAGATGATCTCGAGCATTCGGTTTCGGTTTAAATTTCTCTTTCCTAGACCTCGGGTGGGTTTAGCAAGATGGCCGCCCCCAGCAAGGTTTTCCGGTTGCCGTTAGTTTCTAAGTCTATGCTTTGTTATGGCGGAAAGCACATGTGTTGGTGATATATACGTTTGAATAACTTCGCGAGTTCTGGTCGGATTTGAAAAATAATTATATTTTTGGATTTCCTGGAGCGTGTGCTTTAAATCGGTATATTATTTATATAGGTTTCGTGTAGTTTACGGGTTGGATGAAATGGATTAAAATGTTTTGTTAGGAAAGCACATGGGAATGCTATTGTGTGTTTAATGTAGTAACTTTGCGAGTTTTTGTCTGATTTAAGAAATAATGGTGAATTTGGGTTCTCTAGGTCTTGTACTTCTTTAAAATATATAAATTAATTAGGTTAGGGCCTGTTGTTTTTAGAATGGAAATGGATTAGGATTTCTGCTTAGGGTTAACCCTATCTTCCGCATCTCCACTTCGAATTTTTGAAAGGTTATTTCTCGGGATCTAGTTTAGCTAGAACAATAAATTTGGTATCTTTTTTCGGTCTCGGCGTGGAGAATCTTATGCGATAGTTTGATTTTGTCTAGCGGTTTAAGTTTTTGCTCAATCTGCTCAAACGTGAGTGGCGGCCATCTTGTTTTTTTTTGTTTTGCAATTCGGGAAGTTTGAGATTCTTGTTATTTGAAAATTCCTGTTTATAGGTAAGTTTTAGCCTGTCGAACGCGTTCCTGGGGTGTTCCGATTTTACTTTTTACAAGATATCTGCCCAATCTTGGGGAGTAAAGTGGGAAAAAATCTTACCTTTGGAGCTGAAGGGCCCAGGTGCTGGCGCCGGTGTCCCCCTGGTGGCAGCAGTAGTAGATAGGGACAAAATATATAGAGGAGACTTAAAAGAAAAGGGAAATTAAGTCAAGAAAAAAGAAAAATAATATTGCTCCTCTGCCCACACCACAAAGGTATAGCAGGCATCCTAATATAAAAAATTACTTAAAAAACCCCACCCCCCGGGATCTACTGTTTTAGCGCAACCACAACCAAGGGCACCGGCCCAGGCTATCAGCGACGTTTATTGAAAACTAGAAAAGAAGAAAAAAAAAAAAAGGTTTTCTTTTATAAATTTTTTTTCCAGAAGAAAAGCGCGCATGCACCCGCTGTACAGAATGAGAAAAAGCCTATATATATTGGTTAAATATGATAAAGAGTATAATAGTGAGCATGCTATCACTTTACAGAAAAATAATAAGAATGAATTAGTGTTCTTACACTAAAATGCGTAAAAAAAAACGTATACATATATATATATATATATATACATACACATGTATATACACACATACATACATTCACACATATATACACACAAAACCAAACACACCCATATATAGGGCAAAAATACAAAAAAATTGCAGACATACAAATATAGGGTAAAAAACATAAAAAAATACGTAAAATTTAAGTGAAATATGTGAAAGATATATAAACAATTATATATACATATCAAATGTACACACTAATGAAAGCCTGTTCTAAAATCCCTCCCCCTTTTACATGCTATTTGCTGGACTAGTAGATAGGGACAAAATATATAGAGGAGACTTAAAAGAAAAGGGAAATTAAGTCAAGAAAAAATAAAAATAAAATTGCTCGTCTGCCCGCACTACAAAGGTATAGCAGGCATCCTAATATAAAAAATTACTTAAAAAAACCCCACCCCCCCGGGATCAACTGTTTTAGCGCAACCACAGCCAAGGGCACCGGCCCAGTCCATCAGCGACGTTTATTGAAAACTAGAAAAGAAAAAGAAAAAAAAGGTCTTTTCGAATTTTTCCCTAGAAGAAAAGCGCGCATGCACCCGCTGTACAAATGAAAAAGCCTATATATATTGGTGAAATATGATAAAGAGTATAATAGTGAGCATGCTATCACTTTACAGAAAAATAATAAGAATGAATTAGTGTTCTTACACTAAAATGCGTTAAAAAAAAACGTATACATATATATATATATGTATATATACATACACATGCATATTCACACATACATACATACACACATATACACACAAAACCATACACACCCATATATAGGGCAAAAATACAAAAAATTGCAAACATACATATATAGGGCAAAAACAAAAATACATAATATTTAAGTGAAATATGTGAAAGATATATAAAAAAAATATATATATATATACATATCAAATGTACACACTAATGAAAGCCTGTTCTAAAATCCCTCACCCTTTTACATGCTCCTTGCTGGACTAAACAATTACTAAAATTTATCTCCCTCAGTGGGAATCTTGTTAATCCATTCATGCGCGTCACTAATTAGATAACGAGGCATTTGGCTATTTTTTTTTGTACTCCCAGAAGTCGGGTATCCACAGGGCATGAGGTCCCAGTCCCACAAGGAGAAAGGGCGCGCCACAGTGGCCACCACTTCAGGAGGCATTGGTGTAGGAATTTCGTTCATCCCAAATGTAAAAAAAAAAATTTAAACAAAAAAGAAAAAAAAAATTCACAATTCAACAACACATTCATTAGCAGGGTTCGGTAGCCACAATGGGCTGGGTAACACCCCT